TAATTATCCACATATGAGAGAGGGGGGGGGGCAGGGGGGAGAAAGATAGTATAGGAGAGAGAGAGAGGAGCAGCGAGAACTTCCGGGTAAAACAAGATGGCAACCTGCGTAGTTCGGCTCGATTCGAAAAGTGAAATAGCCGTAGCATCTTTGTAGACAGCCAAATTAGTTCACTTTTGTGCTCTACTGTAAGTATAACATCATTTTTTTCTTTGTTTTTGTCAATTTGATCATCCTCTCTGAAAGACAGTATTCAGAAATTAAGAAACGAAGTGTATACAGATCCGGTAACCGGGAAGTACACAGACCCGGAAGGGGAAATCTTTTGTGATTTCGGAAAGTTTCAGCGCCCAGTCAGACCCGGTAGAGTGTGCGTGTATGTGTGTATGAGAGAGAGAGAGGTGGGGGTTGAAAACAGGGGGAAGTGCCAGCAAGTATTAAATATCACATGCTCCATTTGACAGAGGAGGGAACGAGAGAAAGATAAAGAGGGTGAGAAAGAAAGACAAAGACAAGCATCGTGATTTTAGGACTCAGTATTAGGAAGGTGCAGAACCATCCTATATATATTAACCAAACGTCCCCAAATTCAGCTACCAATGTGAAGAAAGATGGATCTAGCCTCTGTGGATTTCCGTGTTTTGATCGAGCTAAAAACAAGAAAGCTACAAGGTAGTTTCTTTGTGGTAATTGTTTTTGAAAAAAGTGGGGTCGATTAATCTGTGGAATGTTCCTGCATCATCAGACAGGCTGGGCTTTATAATATTGGAAACTATTTTGTGAAATTATCCGTAAAACAATCACATTTCTAAAAACTAAAGTCGACGTCATTCCTGATTTCGCATGGCCCGAAAGCCAGAAAGGGAAACACTGCGGTGAGACCTGTAAACTTGCCACCATCTTAAAGCGTAACCGCTGGTTGGACAGTTATTTTGATCGACCTGAATACCAGGGAGAACAACGTACTCGTTGACACGAATGTAATAAATGTTTCTTTCTATTTGCCATCACAAATAATTAGGCTTAATTTTGGTTTTATGCGAATTTAATGGTGTATGGACTTCAAATTAACTGCATAACATTTTTCCAGTATTTGCAATGTTTTACAGAATATACACACAACCAATGGGAGTGAATGCAATATTGTAGTTCTAAGGCATATTTTCATGGTATGAGGGGGGGTGGGGAAGTGGGAACATATCTTCGGTAGGCGAAAATTAAACTATGTAATTGATTAGTTATGGGCATTTATCAATTTGAGTTATAATTGCATGTATAGTTTCAGTTATAAGTTTTTAAAAAGAAACTGAGCTTGGTATTATTTATTTACCTGTTAGTTTCCCACTCTCTGAGCTGTTTGGTTACAATTCGGTTAATGAACACTTTCCCTTCCGCGAGCCGTGGACCTGGCCTCGCAGAACCGAGAGCCGCAAAATACGGATCGAGTAGTTCGCTATCTATTCCAATCCAGTATTGAAAAGACATGAAATTCTCGGCCGATCCACGTTTTCAAAATAATAGAATAGACTTCCTGTTAGCAGATACGAAAGAAAATATAGCACTGAGAGATTATTTTTAGTCATTTCAGCGCTTTTTTGGTCCCGTTCAACAAGTAAATATATATAAGAAGAAAGAGTGCCTCCCTGACTTCAGTATATGTCTGATATTTTCACTTCTATATTAGGTACACTTACATAACTTTCAGCATTTCTTCGCATTGCTTGAGGCAACCTACCTGGGAAGTTTGAATGATGCTGTTTTATTTTTTAATATGACCTTTCAAAGCTGGATAATCATATGACACCTTCAAAATTGCATATTCACTTTTAAAACCCCAAAGTTATATAATTGGAATAAATCTTAAATATTGTATCGCCATCTGAAATTATTTGTTAACCTTCAGTTTGATGGGCCATAAGATGGTTTGTATGTGTTTAGTTGGATGTTTTGACTTTTTCCTTTGGTGGGGTAGGGGCGTAAAAATAGGTCTGGGAAAAGCCCTGGGCCAGTGGTGGATTTTGGCCTGGTAGGAAAAGAGTTTATTATGCGCATATATTCAAATGAATGCATGATCAAACATTTAAAACCTTATTTGTCACCTTTTCTAATTCGTCTCTTTGTACACACAAATTTGTATACACATCTGCAAGTAACAGAATGGACATATATATACACACATGTCTATTATTAAGCCATATATTGGCTTATTTTTTTATAATTATGCATATTTAATTATTTATTTGAATATAATTAACAAGGATTGAGATTACAACTTTAATTCTTCCATTTTCTATTTTGTTTCCCTAAAAAACATATATGCTCACCAATTTTCAGCTCAATCCATTCATAAATCATCAAATGTGAAAGTTGTGAGTTTTCAATTCTGGTGCAGTTTGCCCTCCTCTATAGGGATTTTCTCCAAATGAAGTGACTATTCGGACTCTGAATTGAGTCCAGCATGACATCCCTTCTGACTTTCGACCCGACTCTTGTTCCTAGATATTTTCAGTATTTATGAACATTTTTTTGGATTATAAGATCTAACAAATGAGACGTGAGCCGAGCTTTAATGTCCAGTTACTAGATCTATCTAAACTGGCCCTCCCTGCATCATTTGTATAATAAACAGAACATCCGAGATGAGTTGACCTTTCCAGGGGGCAAATTTAATTATGTTGACCAATGAGATTGGGCGTAGCGATCTCGCACTCTCGGCTTCCTGGGGGGAAGAGGTGATGGGAAGAGGCCATGGCTGTCGATTTTGTACGATGTGATAAAAAAAAAAAATAATGACAGAAAAACTATAACACTCGACAAAATGAAATTAAACATGTGGAACGACTAATGGCGGTGGAAGTAATGATGATTCTGTAATGGTGGTGGAAAGACCCTGAGTTGTCGGTTACCATGTACTTAGACTAAGAATTGCCATTGGGCAATGAGAGTGCAATATTTTGACTTTTAACACAATTACAGTCCTAGTAGGTAATTCTAGTTCTAATTCTGGTTTTACATAAAATCCCCCGACGACAGTTATATTATGTTACCTCGGTACACTCACATAGCTCACATAGAAGCCGATTCCGAATAAATCAAACATTTGTTTTCATACCCGAGTCCGAATATATAAATAACCTAATCGGACTTGAGTCCGAGTACAGCTGGCCTTCTCCAAAATTAAATACCCTCAATTTCTGACATATACACAGCCATAACTTTTTTTAAATAGATGGATTTTGAAAAAGTACCATACCCATAGCTGCCACTTTCCCGCTAAATAGCGAAAACTCCGCTTCATCTAGCTTTTCCCGCTACTTTCCTCCTTCCTCCGCTGGACCGCTCTCGGTCGCAAATTATGATACATTTTTTTTTTACACGCAGAAAACACCGAACCGGGAGAGACGAAAACGCGGCTTGCGCATGTCTGCCCGTAGCTTTCCGTACTTCCGTTCTTCTAGGCCTAGCGCTAGTTTCACATTGTTTCAATGAGATTAAAAGTTAGTTCTAAACTCCTTGCATTGTTTATTGTTGTAGAGCAACATAGTGTCGATCGGGCATCGCGCCGAGTTGTCATTGAAAACGGCGGAAATTTGAGAGAAATTGATGCAGAATGCAAAAATAAAAGGAGCTGGAATGAGAAGGAAAGAAGCAGCCGGTGTGCGACTTGAAAAGTTCATTAGAAAATTGAACTAGCCGCTTGCTGCACTTTGCGTTTGGTGTGCTAAAGAAATCGCGGCCCGCGGTACTCCTGTACAAGTACAATTGCGGTCCCATTTGTTTACACGACGGCTATTGTGGCTGTGGAAATGAATCTAGAACCGGATAATCTATCTCTAGATATAATCTGGATCTACACATTTTCTAGATATCTAGATTCTAGATCTAGATTAGATAGCCTAGGCTATAATTTTAATTCAGTTTCTATAACTAAATAAGAAAACACTGCAGGGGCACTAAGCGCAAACGGGACCGCAATTGTACAGGAGTGCCCGAATCGCTCAGTACAACGGCAAAGGTGTTGCCTCCTTGATCCAATACTGCTCTACATCGTTGTACAAGTTTAAAGTGAAAGAAATCTTTTTATGAGACACCAGCTGGCAACAAACACTGGATTTTTAGTCACCAAGTCCAAACTGTGTCAAATTGACTCAAATGCTTGTTAGTCAACTTAGTGCCTTTGGTTTGTTTTTTGTTGTGGGGGGGGTTCAAATACATTTTAATTCAGTTGTCTATGGTTAACAAATATGACAGTTTTCCCTTCCAAAACCGTAGGCTAGATTTTCCAGTATATTGCCTCTGAATCTCACTGGTTTTACTCTGGCCTTCGAAGAGCGCGCGTATGCCTTCGCCTGAATTTCCTCCTTTTTTTAAATTCCTGAGTGGCAGCTATGCATACCACCATGGGAGAAGTGCCCATGTAATTATTTCTTGAGATCTGCAGACACTTTAGACTAACCAAAAAACATATCACCTAGGATCTTCATTCTTGTTTGTTGGTTTTTCTCCTGCCTATAATTCTTTATTCTGTACAGCTAATGTTCCTTTTACAATTTGAAGAAATAAGAAAATAAATGAGGTGTAAAAGTGAGTTTTTAACGTTGTGGAAAAACTATGGGAACTTTTTGACCAACTGTACTTGATCCGTAAAATTAAAACGTTCCTCATCGACACAAGTCTGCTTCAAGTCCAAATGAATACAAGGTGTAACAAGGACCCCTCAAGGATGTATTTTGTTTACAAAAATCTTGTTTCATTCTCACTCTTTTAACAATTTTACTAATTTTTATGTGTTTTGTTGCTTTTTTCAACATTTAGAATTGGAATTTCTACAAAGTATTTCTCAAGCAAATCATAAATGCAACCACACTTCCTAAAACAAATTTTGTTAAAAATTTTATGAACAGCTGGCTGAAGAACTATGACGTTCAACCTTAATTTTTCAGAGCACTGCAACTTGTATGCTGTCTTACCTGCGTTAATTGTTTTTTCTTTTTCAGATGAATTAAGTTGGAATTGTGTACTTTAGCCTCACATCGTGTCAATAACAGACGTTTGTTGCCAGTGAACAAATGGATGGACAGGTGGACTACAATAACCTGCCACCCATGGGAGAAGATGCTGTGGATGGAGACGAGAGCGACCCTGAGGAGGTGGCTGGTGCTGAAGGTGGAACCGCTCAAGAGTCCTCGTTTGGCGCGGATGACGGTTTGGAGCAGCCGGACGGACAGAGGAACTCTCTGAGCTTGGATGACGATGGAGGCACTCACTTTGAAGCTTCGAACTCCCAGGAGACCGTGATCCGACGAGGGGGGCCGGTCCACGACAACAGCGCGGCCAGCAGCCCCACCCAACAGGACGTCTCCAATGATAACGATGTGGTGTTTAATCCCGCTCAGAGACTTAATTTTGAAGATGATGATGACGATGATGATGAGGATGAGCACTATGATGATGAAGTGCCAGAGAATTCTTCCTTAGAGAATGATAACTCAGGTGACGGAGAGTTTCTCACTCACCGACCGGTGGTCAATGGCTCGGATGTGGCAGAGGGGGGTGCTTATGGTGGGGCATCGTCAAACTCTGCCTCTGACCAGGGTCAAAACATTCGCATTATTGAAGGTCACGACTCGTCATTGATAGACGATGGTAGTTTGTCGTTTGGAGGTTTCAACTTTCTGCAGACTCAGATGGTTCAGATGCCGCTAATCTCCCCTGTCCATTCCGGCCTCGGTCACAGCAGAATGGATGATCCCGGGCACAATTTGTACGACAGTTTGGAGAGAGTTGATGGTGCAAGCCTTTTTGGAGATAACCATGAGAATGTTCTAGAGAATAACACGTCCGAGTATTTCAGTGCGGGTAGCGTGTCGTTAATGGCCGCCAACTCTCAAGGGCCTGACACAGACTCTGTTTGGGCTCAGGATGACAATTCTGATCATGGAAGCTATCTGTCACATTCCCAGCCACAGTTTCACAGTCATGCCGGCAATGCGGAGAACCATCCGAGCCGGCACCAGAGTCCTCCCCGAAACTTTCAAGTGGACAACTCCAACATGTACCTGGCGAGAAAACGGGGCAGTGGTAGCAACTACGCATTGGAGGGCAACATGGGAGGGTTTGGGGATGTGAGTAACAGTGTGGAGGACAATTCGGATGTTCTTAGCTTGGAGCTGAGCGAAGAAGGATTACTGCATAATACCCAGATGTACGCCCAGCCTGTGCCTTCTGCCGGGCATGTGGCGACGGGAGACAATATGGCTACCAGCCGGGGTGACAACATGTTGCTTTACCAACCCCAGCATTTACCAGAAGAGATGGGCGGCCTACGAGCGGCCAATAGTGGTCAGGCGGGGTACGACGGAGCTTCGGGAAAAGTTGGCAATCATCAGACGCAGCCGAAGAACTTGGCTCGGAATCAAAGTCAGTCTAACTCGGAGCCTCTTCACGGTTCTCACACAGAAGGCGATGGTCTGGATTCACACTCGGACGAAAGACAAGCAGGGGCAGGGAGTAGCTCGTCGGCCAGCGATCAAAATCAGTCAGCAGGAGACAGCAGCGGCCATCAGCCGGTCGCCGCCATGAGGAAGTCTGCCTCTGGCAAAGTTCACTCTCGGCGGCCAGCCGTGCAGGGATCTGCTTCTTCAGGCAATAGCAAGAGATCCTCGTCTATGAATCCAAGGCCTGGCGTGAACAATCCGTCTGCTTCCGCTGCCCAGACACGGAAAGCGCCACCTCCGTCTTCGGCCAGAGACACAGGCACAGGTGACGTTGCTATGAGGGGGAATGGCGGAGCCAGGAAGAAGACCCCAAACGAGGGGAATAAATCCAGCGCTGGGCTGTCTTCATCAGCGTCGGGCCTTGGCCAAGCTCGGCACACGCAAGGTCAAGCTGCTGGTCTGTCACCTTTGACTTCGCGCGCCAGCTCCCATACGTCTCTGGCGTCCAACGCTAGCAGTACGAACAGCCGGGTCAGCGGGGTGGGGAAGGAGTCGCACCATCAACAACAGCATCAACAGCAGCAGCACCATCCACAGCAACAGCTGAACCCTCGCGGAGCGTCATCTCAGGCTGCGGGAGGGACAGACGTCCACCACCATCTTGCCCAGAAGCTGCAGGAGACGGACGTGCACCACCACCTTCCAGCCACCCACCATCATCCCCCTCCTCCTCTTCCCCAGGCCTCGGGAGCGGGCGTTGCAGGCCTTTCTGGCACCAATCCCCACCAGTCGCAGTCGTTTGAAAGGCTTCGGCCAAATGTCGCCGCCGCCCCACCTCAGCACATGCTTCGTGGGTCCCAGTCCCTGAGCAAGGCTCATGCCACCACTTCAGCAGGCCACTCACAACATCAGAACACATCTGGATTCACTCTTGAGAAAAATGAACCCCAGCTCCCACAGTCAGGCGGGCAGGTCCGAGGTGCTTTTCAGTTGCATCCGGCGTCTTTGTCGTCGCAGGAAGCTAGTCATCCACAACAACAACAGCTCATGCATCCCCATAGGTTCATGCAACAGCAACAACAACAACAACAACTGTTCAGTGGGCTCCCTACTGGTCAAGAGAGGAGCCAAGTGGTTCTCCCGATGCATCCTGGGTACAGCCAAGGCATGAGTCCATCGGGCTCGGAGGGAAGTCACCACAGCTTCAACCGAGAGATGGTCGTCACGCAGATGGACGCGCTGAGGCGGCAGGGGCACAGACTGTCTCCTAATGAGGTACTGGGGGTGTTTATTTTAGTGTTTTAATTCCAAGGGCGGTATTTGCCCTCACTTTATCGCGGCTGTTTTCACCATTTTAATTTCAGGGGAGTGGGTGGCTGGCAAGTGGTGGGGTTTGCTCCCTTTTTCCTATCAATTACCTATTATCTTTATCTTTCCTTTTTTTTTTCTTTATGTAATATATTCTTTAGTAACGATTTATATATGACTTAATTGTGTTGTAAGTGCCGTAAAACTCCTACTAAAACTAATAACAAGGGAAGTTTTTGTTCTCACTTCATCACAGCTATTTTCACATTTCACTCCCATGGGGCTGACGTCTGGTATAGCGGTTACATGCTTCACTTTTACATGAAGGAGACCTGAGTTCGATTCCCTTGTGGGGAGAAATTATTATGGAGTATCTTGGTCTTTCTGCTAGGATGTATCCCTCTCATCCCAAGTTGTCCCTGACATGCAGGGTTGAAGTCCAACTCTCTTATTTGATCTAAATTGTGTCTTTTGGGGCTTAAAATCACCTACATTAAACATTTTTCTGATAATTTTCTTTTTACTCCCACTTGTGGGTGTTCAGAGAATTTTCCTGAATGGATGTATTTCAATTAGTTGTTTTGTTTGTTACACTCGATTTATGGTCCTTGTTGGAGAGACCAAACAATTTGTTCTTAATAAGCTTTAGACAGGAGTTGAGTTTTACAAAATTATTCACCCCGGGGTGGTGCCAAAGGGGGGACATTTCTTGTTTTAATGCACTGTAGAATTGTAAATGGGCTGATCCAACAATGTCATGCTCATAACTGTGCCTGAACTACAACAGGGAACTGCTGCTTTTTCTCTACTTCTTTTGTATGTTTGTCACACTCTTGTGACCTGCTATTTCCAGGGTGCCTTGACAGTTGAAGCAGACTTGGTGCTGTTGAAGCTAGAGAGGTGAGCAGAGTAAGTCTGATTCCCTGTAAGGACTTCTCTGTTGACATCCTCCCCTTGGTGCTCAAATGACCTTATGCAGTTGCGAGTGTCGTAAAACCTCTACTGAAACAAAAAACAAAATTTTTGGATGAGGTTTCAAGAACTTACTTACCAAAAATTTGTTGTGTCTTACTCAACTTATCTTAATGGGAACTAATACAGTCAAACCTTCTCTAACGGCCACCTTTTCAAGACAACGACCTGTACAAATGGTCACCCGCTCAAGACAATCACCTGTCCATAGGATTACTTTCCACTTCACCCTTAGGGTTTGCCCCAGACATCCACCAGTCTAAGACAACCACTTTTCTCTTTGACAATGGGTGGAGGTCATGAACATTTTGAACTGCAGTTCTTCATCTGCTCATTAAAAAAAAATATTCTTTTTCTTTCTATCATGACCTCTCCCAGGTGTCGAGCCAAAGAGCTCAGCTGGACAATGACTTGCAGGGAATGGAGGAAGTCAGGAGTCATCTACAGAACATGTTACGCATTGGCACTGATGTTTCTGTTGGTGAGTTGTGTGATACATGTGTGATACACCCTAGAGTTACAAAATTCTGTAAAAACTTTTACTGAAACAAACGAACCACTTTTCTCTTTGTTTATGGACGGTGATCTTGTGCAATTTGACTGTATTTAGAGAATAAATTTCTTTTCTGCATTTTTTTTTGCATATTTGTGGAAAATGTACAGAGTTATGTAAGGATAATGTGAGCAGTCAGATTTTGGAATAAACCTTGTCTATTTGGTTGGCTGTTTGTTGCCTGTGAGAGTCAGGGTAATGCCATATTAAAGGGGAGGTGAAATACTACTGCAATGACATAACTTGTTTCACTGTTGCTCTTTTTTTCTCCTCCTAAAGATGCTAGCACCTTTGACCAGTCAGGCACAGCCACTGACTTGCTCCTGTCCGACCAGCCAGTCAACAGACAGTTACATTTTGAAACAGATTCCAGCTCTTACCTGGGGTAACGTCTTAACACATATTTTGCCAGTCAACTGTTCAAATGTACCACTAGCTCAGAAAGCCTAATTCTAAATGAGAGAGAAAGAAACTGTTTCATTCTTACAATTGTACGCACATTGCGCAATATTTCTTTCTTGTTTTTAACATTTAAAATTTGGATTTCGATGAAATATTTCTTAAGTACAGGTGCCGCAGATTAAGAAGCTGCAATAAAAAGAAATTCCAAATTTTGGGCTGAGTGCATTTTAACTCTTTATTTCCGGAAAGCGGCTCGCGTTCGGAATCACTTTGCCTGTGAGTCGCTGACTGCTCCTCGGGCTCCTTCCTTTACGACGACTTCGACTTCAAATTACTTTTCGGCAATTGCCGAAAACAGGTCTCTTTTACTGGAAGTTCATTCATTTGATGAAGAACTATCGATAAGGTTTGCTAGTTTCGATTTGGTGACCCATTTAATGACGTTTTTGTCATTTTTAGATTTAGCACCAAGAAAAGGCCCCGGCTTAGTGGGTTTACACACACCCCCCCCCCCCCCCGGAGATAAAGAGTTAACAGCTGCTTGACGATTTGTTCAACATCTTCTGCTTGTAAATTTGTATGTGAAGAATGTGTGGGGCCTGAAGTTGTGTGTGTGCTTGTGCATGTGTATTTGTTTTGTGTGTGTGCGTGCGTGTGTACTTGTGTGTGTGTGAGTGTGTGTATGTGTTGCGTTGTTAACTGGTCTGACAATGTGCATTTTCTGTCCTTTGGTTTGTCAGTTCAGTTGAATAATAGGTTTAATGCATTTTACAGCACTTAGGGCCTTCTAGGGATGAGAGACTGTATAATTTCCTATTATTATTACAAATGCTTGTTTTTGTTCTTTTTTGTGGTTGTTCTGAGCACAGAATGCTGCTGCATAATGATATGTATGTCATTTTTCATATAAGAATGTTTAAAAAAAAATTCAAATCTAATAGTCACCAGTTATTTAATAGATAGGCTGAAAGATTTTAAAAAATTCCTTGGAGGAGTTTCATGTCTGGTCCACAAACTGGATTGAAAAAGATGGTAAGTATGAGTGGGTTTAAATCTCATCAGGGGCGTAACATTTTATTCTCACTTCACCAAGTTTGGAATGGGTACCTGGCTATAGACAGCAAAATAGTTAAAGGAGTCTAGCGGGTAACGTTTTTGGTCAATTTTCGATGAAATTATTGATTTTCGGGAAAGCTGCTTTTTTACACCTTTGATCATTTCTGAATCAGATTTTCTGGTCCATTTGGTAAAATAAATTGATAAAAATTATAGGTGAAAATATGTCTCAAGTGACCTCACCCCCTCTTGCAAAAACGACTGCTTGGTCACTTTTCCTTTTTTTAAATAAAAATTTCATTGTAACTATACAGAAATGAGATTTTATATGTAAGAGTGCATATGGTACTGGAACCTCTGGAACAAACAAATCTTCAAATTACAGTGACCTTTTTAAATGTGTTTTTCTCAAAACTTTGTTTTTGAAAGACCCTTCATCACTAAAATCTTAAAATCTGAGCTACTAATCAAGATAATGTACTAAAACTTCCCAAGTATTAGCAGGTTTGGTAGTTACAGGTACCTGGCTAGTTATATTTGAGAAAATGTACTTAATGTTAATATTTCAGATATCTACATTTGAAATGGATTTTGCATTTAAAATGGGTACCAAAAAAAGGGACATTGCTTTGAAACCCCCATAATTTCCAGAATATTGGAAGTATACCAAAAAAAAACAACCTAGCCAGGTACCTATGTCTAAATTAACTTTATGCCTTTTGGTTTTCAAAATTTTAAGATTTTTCTAAGTATTGTATAATTTCAATATGCAGTGCTTCCACTCTTCCGTATTTTTACAGAAATCCGTACTTTCTGCCAGTTCTGTACCTGTTCCTCCATCATTATCAACTCCCTCTGTAAAAAACTGGGACAGCGTAGGAATACCGAAATTCCGTAGCAAAAGATCCGTACTCGCCTTGGTATCGTCTTGTATAAGTTACGAATATTTATGGTAATTCTCTTTGCAATAAGTTAATGTTAATAAGTTAATAGAAACGTGCCAGATTGTGCATTTCGTGTAATCGGCCATTATTACGGTCAGAAAAAAACTTATTTTTACATTAATGTGTCCAGATCTAGAGAAATTATTAATGCGAAAATTCTACGGCACGAGATCGCAACAAGGCGGCGATGAAAGAAATTTATGCTAAAACTACTAAAGTTCCTTATTGGGCGCTGCTTAATTTTTTCAGTTGTAAAATGGTGCGACCAAAATGAAGCAGTCATCAATCCTTCAAAGGCGCAGGTACTTTGGTGTCCCCTCAACAACAGGATTGTCCAAGACATAACTCCACCAATCACTTGCAACTATGAGATTATCGACAGACAGTCAGAGCTGAAGTATCTGGGAATCGTCTTCGACAGGTCGTTGTCCTTCAACAAGCATGTGAATCATGTGGTAACAAAGGCCAAACGAGGTGTTGGTGCAATCAAGACCATGGCGGCCGCTCTGATTCCGCAAAGAGTGCTCTTCCTGATGTTGCAGCTGGTCGTCCTGTCTGTCATTGATTACGGATTGGGCTGTCTCATGCTGTCCGACACACAGATCGCAAAGCTGGATCGAGTGCAGAATGAGGCAATGAGAGCAGTGGTGGGCTGCACCAAGGACACTCCAATATTGTGCATGCGCTACTTGCTAGGTTTAAGTGGCATCAGAGTACGCCATAGGATAGCTCAGGCAAAGATGTATCTTAGTGTAATGGGCAAGAAGGATCATCCACTTCACAAAGCACTTCATGACAACAGGAGAGTCAGAATCAAGAGAGGAAAATCTTGGATGGCGGAAGCAGAGGATTCTCTGAGAACAATCTGTGTACCTGAGAGCCTACCACTAGGCGAAGAATGGGAGCAGGTGGCCGGAGAATACAGGGACCTCACCAATGTCAAAATAAGCATGGGCAGAGACAAAACGGCTGCCATCAACGAGAGCGATATCAACGAGATTGTTGACATAAACTCAAAAGCAAGGGATCCTATAATTTATACAGATGGTTCAGTGAAAAGAGATGGCCAGAGAAGTGGATGGGGATTTGTTGCATTCGCCAACAATAAAATCATACACAGTGCATCTGGAGCCTGCAGCAGGGCTACATCAAGTATGCGAATGGAAATTGAAGCCATCACGAAAGCACTTGATTGGATGACCCAAGATCGCCCCCACACAACCCATGCTGTTCTTATCACTGATTCCATGTGTACCCTCAGAAGGATCGAAAAAGGTTTCCTGAGAACGGAGTGGATTCAAGCTATCGAACCAACGCCTATACGATCGCTCACATGGATTTTCTGCCCTGGCCATGCAGGTGTTAGGGGAAATGAAAAAGCCGACAGATTGGCTGGTGAGGCCACCTTAGTTGACAATACGGTTCAACCAGATAGGGTCGAGATCCTGAAATGTCTTTCTCGCCAACTGATTGAGGAGGAAGATAGGGAGGCAGAGGCCAGTACTGCCGTGGAGAGGATGATGCTTTTTCGGAATAAAAAAAGGAAGCGGAAAATCTGGCATCCTTGCAGGAAAGAACAGAAGAACGTTCAACCAGATGTGCACTGGCACAATCAGTAGAAGGACCCTCGGCAACATTTTGGAGAGAGCAACGGAGCATCAATGGACATGTCCGGAGTGCAGGGATGTTGCTTCCTGAAACAAGAACAAGAACAAGAACTAAAGTCAAGATTCAAAGTGGTGTTCCGGGGTTGTGACATGCGGCATGCAGTCGTGAAAAGTGAGGAAAATTAGGGTATACGCTGGGTAACTGTATTGTGAAGGTACATATCTATTCATTATTCCCTGGTTTGCCTTCTATCAATTGTGCGATGACAAATTAATTGAATTATTATAGCAATTGAAGGGGGACCTGCTTTAAACATTGCCAGCAATGGAAAGATATGTAGGTGAAGAAATCAAACAAGACAAAATGTTGGTTAAAAAATAAATGTTATGGGTTGTAGCCTTCAAACAGGCTCCGTAATGCCATTTTCAATCCTCTAAAAGCACTAAATTTAAATTTCTTCGGGGGTTCGCCCCCTGAACCCCCACGGGGACCCTGTCCCTGGACCCTGCTGGCGGCCCCCAGACCCCTGGCAGAATTTTCCTTACTTTTCTGCTTCTGCTGGTGGAAGCACTAAATATGTCCACAGGTGTTTCATAACACTTTGGGTTGAATTGTTTTTAAACATTTTGATTTATTTCTGGGAGGTTACCACATATTTGGGGAAAGTTTGGTTTAAAAAATAACGAAGATAGCTTTTCTTGGTAGCTAAACCCCTTAACAGTTTGTTAGTGTTTTAGCATGTGCAATCCTCAGCTTGCACTGTATGCTTCTCAGGAAGCTGAGAATATTTCTGAGTGTTCTAGTGTCTGCTGGGGTAGTAATAGTTGTAAGCCGACAGAGCATGCTGTAGAGCGTGAATGTGTTGTATAAATGAGATTATTATTGTTGTCAATTCTCAGAAACAGTCAACACGAGGACATGTCGGACATTTTGGAAAACTTCCCGACGTTCTCGTCCAAGATGTTCTCTGACATGTCAGCCGTGTCGTCTCGCAACGATGCTGTGGTTCACGGGGAGGTTCAGTACTTGCGGGAGTCTTTGGAGAAAGAGCGATACAGGAGAAAGGTATATTTTTGTAGTTGCGAACCATTGTGTAAAAAAACACAAATTTTTTAAAAGACAACTTAATGGTATCTTTAGGGCTTCCAACAGGCAGGCAAAAAATGTTAATTTTCTACAAGACAACTATACGGTAAATTTATGGATGCCAGCTAGCTTGTAAAAATCTCAAAATGCTGATGATTCTTGTTTAGCAAAGCTTATGTCATGCGCTTTATTTTTTAATCCTTCTTTCTCCCCCCTACCTCCCATCTCCCCCCTACCTCCCATCTCCCTCCTCCCTCCCATCTTTTTTCCCCCTCTGCACTCGGACTACACAGCATTGTGAGGAACACATTCAGAAGCTGAACACTAAGGTAAGAATTTTTGTTGTAATCCCAGGTTTGTGAACTGTCCTGGGGAATTTATGAGAACATAATATTTGTCACGACATGATGGATTCAGGTGTGTGTCAATTTTTGGGCTGGTGGAGTTATTGGTATCATCTTAAAGCTTGTTTATTTGTCTAGCTTTTAATTTTTTTAAAAAGAATATCCTTCCTTCTTGAACTGAAGTGGAGATATTTGCGATTGAAGGAGGAGGTGATCGCTTGGTTTCAGAGGGGAGAAAATGGCCGTCAAAGCTTGGTGACTTTCATAGTGCGAGAGTAGGTGGAAACTGAACATTTACATTTTTTATGCTTTTAATCAATGTTTTTCAGTAAAATCCTTACAGAAATGCGTTTTTAAATGGGCATAAATGGTGTGGAGCAAATAAAAGCAATAAAAAATAGTCGTTATTACTATTATTATTATTGTTGTTGTTGTTGTTATTATTATTGCTATTGCTATTATAACTATTGTTTTTGTTATTAATTATTAATGACGACATTATGACGTTGTGTGTCTTCGTTTGGATTTTCCCAGCTCCTGGAGATCCAACAGCAGCTGGCAGTGGCTGTGTCTACGGATAAACGCAAGGACATCATGATAGAGCAGCTAGACAAGGTGCGCTGTGTTGCCTCCAGTTTACTCGTCTTTTCAGAGTTACAGATCTTGCTTGTTTGTCTCTGTTGTGTGGATGTGTATTTTTGGGTTTGGGTTTAGTCTGCAGCAGCATCCTTTTGTGGTGGAACTCCCCCCGCCCAGAAAAGGAGTGGATGGTTGGAGGGTGTTCTGGTGTGGTTTGCTCCTTCTTTCCTATCCAACGTCTATCGTCCTTATCTCCCCTCCTTCTTTTTTGTGTTTGTTGCTCCCTTGTAACACCCCTAATCTTCGGCACTTCTATGGCCTTATTGCTTTGCAAGTGCTGTAAAACTTACGAAAATGAAGATATGAGTCTCTGAGTTTTTCTGTTGAGATTAACCCGCACATTTTCCGTTGGCTGTGACTGGTATGGTTCTGCTGACTGTTCAGGAATGATGTTTTTCTGCTTTTTTACACAATAATTTCTGTTATTTTCTTTAGAAGAACCATTGTTATTCTTAGCACATGTTTTTCTGTTTAACCTAATATTATTTATGTCTATAAGCTGTGTTTTTGTTTGCAAATGCAACTTGGAAGCAAATTTTCAGGTATTTTCACAAAATGTCAGTGGCATCCCTGAGGGTTGATGCAGATTGACTCGTAAATGATGTCAATTGTATGGGTGGAGGGGTTTTGGGTAGGGCTGGGCGAAGAATCGATTCCGGAACCGATTTTCTCGATTAATGCTACGGAAGAAAAGTTTGGACTCATTTTTACGTAAACCAACGGTTACTGGTTACTTTAATCATTAAAATCTTTTTTTTTCTGAGAATTTATTTTTGAAAAAGAAAAGTTAATGCTTCGTAGTGTTCTGAAATTTTCTTCGTCTTCTTCTTCTATCCCGTGGTTGGGGCAACGGTTGGGGCACCACTGCATTGGAAAACCAGCTCTCACCATCTATATTTGTCTTCTGCTCTCCTCAGATTGTCACCCATCGTCTTTCCTGTCCACTCTGTAATGTTGTCCTCCCATCTCCTTCTCTGCCTTCCTCTCTTTCTCTTTCCTTGTATGGTTCCTTGCAGGATTGTTTTAGCAAGTCCTGTGGATCTTGTGACATGCCCATACCATTTTAGTATCTGAAATCTAGGTTATCCTAAATCCTGAAGATGTTCGGAGCCAACCATGTAACCACCGGAAGAAATCACATCATGAGAAAATAAGTATTTGGTTTCGGAGTCGATTCCTACGATTCCTGCCTAGCTTTCAATAATCGGGAACCTAGCCGCCCAGCACTAGTTTTGGGAATGGGGGTAGGGGTGGAATGGAGGTGTGAAATGTTCTCAGTAACTGTTACAACTGTTTTGTTTTTTCAGCAATTGGCGAAGGTGGTAGAGGGCTGGAAAAAGAGAGAGTGTGAAAAGGATGAATTCATGAAAGTTCTGAGTCAGGAGAAGGAGCAGATTGAGGAAACTCTTCAGAAACAGCAGAAGGTGAGTGGCCATCTTTGTTTTAGTTCTGTTTGATGTTTCGTTCAATTTTTTAGAATGTTCAAATAAATGTGAGGTTGCCAGACAAAATGAGTTACTTCCAGTATTTTAGCCCTATGGACATAGACAGATAAGTCAAATGGTAAGTAAAATTAATAATTAGGGTCTGCACAATTTATCTGAAACGATAAAAGACATGTTAAACTTGAAAAACAAAGATGGCATTATTTCAAAGTCTATATGAATTTGTCATTTTGACCCTTGTCGATTGTTGACCAAAATCTCCATTCGTGGATTCCGAGAAGTAAATCACCTTGTCAGCATGCCTCAATATTTATTTGGGTACCTGTGACTAGTGCCATTGTCAGGTTTTTTACATTACGCTCAAAGAACCTGAGTTCTCACTCCTTCGTGAAGAAAATAATTGTTTATCTACTGTCTCGTGGGTTGTTGGTGGGTGCTCTGGAGTGGTTTGCTACTCCTTTCCTATCAAACATCTGTCTTCTTTGTCTCTCCTCGTTTTTTGTGTTTTTGACTGTATTGTAACACCTCTAATCTTCAGTGCTTTTATGGCCTAAGTGTGTTGAAAGTGGAGGGGAGGGTTGTTTGTTACTTTTTTCAAAGTTGACAGTTTGGAATCCTCTCTGTATCTGTATTTGTACTAGTTGTACGTGTGCTACCCCCCCCCCCCCCTCCCCCCACAGTTTATGAGTCATTTAGGAGGGAGATGAGTTGCTTGTATCCTGCCAGTCAGAGAACAAGTGTGTGTGTAAAGGGTTGGTTGGGGACCAATGTCCACCGCTTTGACCCACCGCATGGGTACAGCGTGGTTTTTTGTTTTGTTTTGAAAATGGGGCAGCTATGAGTTTGTGCCCTGAGCCAAAGTGTTTCACTGCTTTCGAAGATGTGTAATAAAGATATAGCCCTGATCATTAACTTTTTTCTTGTGTTTCCATTTCGACTGCACAGTATCAGACTCTGTCATGGGTCACTTTTCAAAATGGTGTATGGGGGGTCTTACACTGTGCAGTCAATTTGAAGATTTGGTATGGCATAACTTTTCTCCTTGATGTGGTCATTTCAGATGGTCAACAACTTTGAGCAAGATCTGGCCCAGACAGTGGAAGAGTTGAGGGTGGAAAAAGAGCAGTCAGCAGAGACAATCAACAGTTTGAAAGAGGAGGTATGCTTGAGAGGTGCAGAATTTAGGCGTAAATTGGGAAATCAGAATTTCTGAAGTTGTCTTCATTTTTTCCAACTGATTGTTTTTAAACTTTTTGCACTGTATGTACTAGAAGTGGACATGTTCATTTTGACCAATATGCCAAAAATAGAATAATGAAACGTTCTAAGGATATTGCATCAGGTCTGTAATGTCAAACCAATCCGTTAAGTTATTTTGTCACAATGGCAATTCTGGATGTCTAGAGTTGTCTATTAAACCTTGCCCCAAAAATCAATTTTTCTCAAAACAAGGAATGATGTTGACATAGTCACCTCGAGCCCTCAGCTGATTATATGATGTGTGTGCGTTTGTTTTATTTTTGTACACGATTTTTCTGTAATCAGATTGAAACAGTACCCTTTATGTGATCGACACTTTATGGCCTATTTGTTTTGCAAGTGCCGTAAAACTCTTACTAAAACTAAAACAGAACAAACAAAAAAAACCAAGTTAAGTTATGGGCACTTATGGGCACTTATATGACCTATTTTTGTTGCAAGGGCTGTAATACTCCTGTTAAAACTAAAGAAAGTGATGGGAAATGCTCTTTTTTCCTTTGCACAGCTGATCGAGTCGAGACAGCGGAAGGAAGAAGCTGACGCAGCCCTGGAGTCAGAGCGGGAGAAATTCTCCAAGATGTCGTCAGAGTGGGAAGAGCTGAGAGAGTCGCGGGAGCTGGCTGAGGGCAAGGCACAGCAGGCTCAGGAGAAACTTGTGCAGGTGGGTGGGGATCCG